GTTGTGTAGATCAGTGTTTCGTATAAAGGACCCAAATAAGTTCTTCTGTACCAACAAAAAATGATGGCCTAGGGGGGGTAAGGACAAACGACTAACAAATTATTTATAATATAAGAAAATATTTGCAATATAAATGTGTATTTATGTTGGTTTCTTAATTTATGAAATATACCCTGTGATAAGGATAATAATATTCATAGTCCTCACCTTCTCTAGCACACAATGTTACCTCTGTCCTGAGACAAGTCCGAATTCACAGATCCTTTTAATATTATACATGCATCTATGCTTAGGTCTCCGGACAGCCTCGTTCCTTCATGTATTTAGGCTACAAAATGCATACGCAAAGTTTCTTATTTTGCGTTTTATAACTAGGCAGTATTTTCCAGTGAGTCATAAATATGCATTGTAGTTTATTCATCGCAGATAAAAAATTGAATTGATAACTAAATGACTGTCAGAGTTTTTAGAACTAGTGAAAAATTGTGTTATTAAGACTTTTTCGGTACTGAAATTCTTTGAGGTGTAAAAAAAATAAAAGTTAAATTAATAAAATTGCGCTGTAAAATTTCAAATGCAGGCTGACTGATATCATATTCGGGGTCTAGTTCCCTCATACTAAATTATTTCGGAAGTAAGTTGCTACTTGAGATTTCTTCCACTAAATCTATTGTTTTTAACACTGCATTTATTCTATACACCCATTACAGCAAAATATCTGAAGGCAATGGGGCAGTTACACACGTGAAGACATTAATATGACGCAGTGTTTCCATATGACGATAATTTCTACATTATAGATAAGTGCATGTCACATATTACAAGAAACATATCTCTGCGATATTTTTCAGGAAACATGAGTGTACCCATCAAAAATATTAAACGAACAATTTCAGTAATCATCACGTAATACGGAAAACGTCGGCTACAGAATTGGGCGTATTGCACTGTAGAATAAACACAGATATTTTAATAGTAATATACGTACTTTTCATTTCTGGAGTTTTCTGTAGTCCACATTTGCTGTTCATAACCAATCTCAACTTTTAATTCGGGGCACCTAATAACATTTTGATGGAGAAAATTCAAGAAATCACAAGAAGAACATGGAGTTACTCGTCGAAAGATGCGTACTGAATCCTAGGCAGATGGTAGAAAGCAGTGTGACAAACTTGCAGAAACCTAATAGTGTCCAATAGTACCAATTGAACGCAGACATTTTTACCATCCTAACTGGCCATACGCAGTGCAAAGAGAATGCTTGTAAGTTGCAGGAACGTGCAGTATTTGAAAGTCGTGAGAATATGAAACATTTTTATCAGGTTCTAATAAGCTCGCAACCCATAAATATAATTGTAAATCTTATAAAAGTAAAAGTAATTTTTGTTGAAATTAAGTTATGTTCTTTTTGGGGAGTCTGATTTTTGTTTTTTTAACTCGTTATTTTATATTTTGTAACTTAATTAGCCCTACATAAACCACACACGTAACATTAGTTGCGAGAGATTTAGTTTTAAAATCTGATGTATATTTATTTGTTTATTTATATATAAGTACATTTAAAATATAATGCATGGTAGTAAAATGAGAACATTTGTTTAAATTAATGTCAATAGATAATATAATTATCTGAAGATGTAGTTATATGCCGTAATTAATTATAATGATTTTTTAGCTTTGCGTATGTTTTGAATACTGTGTATATATTTGTGAGCCTTTTTCTTGAGATAAAAGTAAGTTTAAAATACTTTTTTGTATTTTCCGTGTGTGCGTGACATATTCAAAATCTGACGACGTAAAAAGATTTTACGTCTTTTTTTCCCGAACAGGCAGAATATTTTCAGTGTTACCATATTTAATCTTGCGTCTTGTTTACCCTATTTAACGTTCGGAGCAGACATAACGTTTTAATTTAAAAAATCCCACTTTGGTTTTACCTGTCAGCAAATTTTTTTCTTTGAGTCGTCTTTGTTTTTCTAAAGTGTTCCGTGGTTAGAACGTTGCTATTGCGTTGTGACAGTTTTGCTCTACCGAGTTACTACAGAATCGATTGTTTTATTTTAATTTACATGTAATTTTTAACTACTGTAAGTGTATTTAAATGAGGATAAGTACACTCGTGTAATTAAGTTAATTAAGTTGCTGAGTTTACGAAGTCTTTTAGCACACGCTTTCTCCCCCGCGAATTGTTTACGTTAATCATAAGTACGTAATCATATGCAATTCTTGTGTACTAAGTAACGTGAACCTCGTTATGTTCTCATTAACTCTTAGTGTTACTTATTCTATAGTCAAAGCTTACGTCTGCGATGTACATTTTCCACTGAATGAGTTACGTCACATGGAGGGGTATTGCTTACCCCTTACCCTCTCCATCTTCCCTTCTTTTCTTACTGTAATGTTGCTCAGGCCCCCATATATTTTGCACCTCTGAAGCATCAGTAAACTTTTAGGAGACTACACGGCGAAATATTCCAGAACGCTTTCATCTTCCGTGACGCTCATTTCTCCATAGAATTACGTCGTCACAATACAATTAAATGAACATTTTATCCGAAAAGAACATCGGAACACAACGTACGGATTTAAATATTGTTCCGAATTAAATTAACCGCAACACAGCCTTCCTTGGTTTCTGAATTACCGTCACTTTTTTTTGGGG